AATGAGCACACACATCCAGGAATGTGAGACTATACCATACACACTTAGCCAAGACTATCTCACTGATTTCTTTTTTGCCATGTTTTCACTTAACTCCTAAATCTTGATCACAAGTCCTAACCTTGTGCTTCAGACTTATTTATCCAAATGCCTACTAGACATCTTTTCCTAGAAGTCTGACAGACATTCGACACATTGGACACTGAACTTAGGACCTTCCCTTCTAAACCTGGTTCTCTTCTCTTCTATTTCCAATACCAGTTAAATAAATGTGTGGACTATTATTTCTGAGCTCAGATATATGGGGCATCCTGGCCCTATTACTTTAACTTAATCTGCTGCATAATCAATCAGTTTGTCAGTCCTGACTCCCTAACCTCCAGACTGTCTTCTCCATTGTGTCCTCTACTGTCAATCTTGAAATCCCCGTCTACCTGATCTTCTTCTCTTTCCTGGATCGTTCCAACATCTCCCATATACCCATGGATAGACTTGGCTCTTTTCTTCACCATCTACATCTAAATGGTGACCAGCTGATTATTCCTTAATAACACTTCCCATCATTAGCTATGCTTCCTTTTCTTTCTTATGGGTTTTCTAGAGTTATCTCTAGCGAGCCTCTTCATATAAATTTCTCCCACAAACTAATTTCTTCTCCCCACTTCGCTTTTCTGACTTAGTGCCTTTCCTTTTTACCTGCTTTTGCCTTCTCATTTGCCTATTGAAATCCCATCATGATATCAAAGTTCAGCATCAATCCTACCAACGCCATAAAGAACACCCAGAAAACCCAAACTAGAAACCAGTTGTCTCCTTTTTAAATTCTTGTTGTAATTCCTGTCAATTCCAATAATTCTCAGACCTTAAAGTATGAAGACTGCGTTCCTAAGTCAAAAAAAAGATCTACTCTTCCCTTCAACAAGATGGGCAGAAAAGAAACCAGGGAAATTTTCCACCCTAATTGAGTGGAAGGTAGACATGTCATTGGTGGAAGCTGGACTACTTCACGGGAAAGGGGCTGTGGCAATGCAGCAAGCCGGTCCCAGCTTATGCCTGAGGACATCAGTTGCATAAAGACCTGTATGAAAATGTTTCTATACATTCGTTCAATAATATTTGAGTGCTCACTGTGTGCTAGGCAGTGAATAAGAGAGACACAGCCTACTCTCAGAGACCTGCAGAAGAGTCCACGGTCACATAAGGTTGGGAAACTGCAACTATGGCAGTCCTGGAGGGTCATAATGGACATTATCATATAAAAGTCTCTGGAAAGTCTCACTATTAAAACACACACACACACACACACACACACACACACACAAAACCCACATCATTTTGTATTTAGCATTACTTCCCAAACTAATTTGGCCCCAGAAGCCCTCCCTTGCTTTTGTTCTGGCAAAATCTATTAACATCCCATGCAACTAGGGCTCTGTGGGACATGCTTTGAGAAAATACTGTGTAAGAAGAGCAATTCAAATGCTAAGGAAGCTGAGCCTGGAAGAGAAGCAAATATCATTATGCACTTTGGAGATGTAAGTAGAGAGGGCTCTGCCTGGGAGAAGAACTGAAAAGCGTGTGGGGGTTCCGGTGGTGTGGGCAGAGAAACATTCCAAAGGTTCCAATCCTTTTAACTGGTTTTCCTCAGACCATAAGGAACAGACCAGAGAGTAGGACTTTTAAGTTTCCCAAACTTTCTCCTCCTAAGCCTCACTCCAAATCTGTCCCCAGCAAGATGATGTGGATACTATTGCTAGGAAGCCCTAAGCTGGCTCCGTCTTCACCAACTCTCCTTTACCTCAGAATTTTGAGCATTGAACATTACAAAACTCACTCTATAATGTGAAAAAATGGTGCTGTTCCAATGAACTGACTCTTGAGGTCCTTATATGGACACTGTGGATGGGATCCCCTTGAGGCCTGCATTGTCAAAACGTTACGGGCTTGAAAAAAATGCACTTTTCTCATACGCTTGAAGTATTTCATAACAAGAAAAACAAAGAGCATTCCTTTTAGCTTAAATGAAGTTATTAAGTATGTGCCAAAACTGTTCCAAAGCGTCTATGCAGAACTGGCAGCATCCTGTGTAATATGAGAGCCTCGACTGCTACCAATGAAAACAGAGAAATTCGGGAAGACCAGTCTTCCCTGAGAACCTAACCAAGCACTGCCCTTCTTTGCCAATCTTTCAGTCACTTAGTATTTTCTAACCAACAATTAAGATAGCTGAGTTTCAGAACGTCAGCTCTCACATTCATATTTTATGGTAAAATTAACAGATGCAGTAAAATAATCCAAAGAATTGGAGCAAATAATATATATTTTAGTATACTGTGCTTTTAAAAAATATGTGAAATATGTAACAGACATTTATTAATAGAACTTTGTTCTATATTTTTTGGCCTTCCTATAGTGTATAGAATTTTTATAGAATATTTTGATGGCTTTACTCGGATGAAATATCTATTGTTTTCACAACCTAATAGCAGTTTTAAAGTCTTAGCAATAATCATTTAAAAGTTTTCACTCATTTTCATTTTACACTAATGAATTTTTAGAGTATCTTAAAGGCGGATATTCTTCAAAATAGTATGCGTTTTTTTTCCACTGAAGTGCAAACACTTTTGAATGTCATTTATCATTAGTAAGGCTTAGAGAAATAGGTACTTTCATTCATTGTTGATGGAAACATAATTTGGGACATACTCTTTGAAAGTCAGTTTGGAAACATACATATGTGCATGCACATGTTACGTATCTGTGTGTCCACACACACATATGTCCATGCATTCATATATGTGCAGTTTGGACTATTTTCCTAAGAATTTAAAATGTTATACATAGTTTTTTTATAGGGATGTTCATGATACTTTAATAGGAGTTTATAGGTAAAAAAGTAGGAGCAACTTAAATGCTCAAGTTTAATGGAAAAGTTGAATAAATTACATTATAGCCTACAATGAACTATCATATATCCATTAAATCATTTTGTAGAAGAATACCAAATGACATGTTAAAATGCAGATATATCTTAAAAGCATACAATAGTATGGACGGCATAATAATGCCATGTTTAGGGGAATATCTGCTAAATATTAATAGCAACTATACTTGAATGATAGACATAAATGGATTTTTATTTTTTCTTATATTGTTCCTTGTCTTCCAAGTTTTCTGCAGTGAACGTGTATTACTTATGAAAAAAACAAAATAAATGTTACAAGTCTCTGTATATATTCATACCCTTTATACCCTAATATAAGGAAATAAACGGATGCACACTTAAAAGTGTACTTACAACTATGTTCTTTTCTGACTTGTTTATAATAGTAAAATACTGGAAGCAACTCAAATGTCCAACATTAGAAAACTGGTTTTAACAAATAACAGTACATTCAGACAATGGAATCTTACAGAATCTTTAAAACCAGATTATTGAAAATATTTAAGAATGAGGAGAAACATAGAATGTTAAATTAAAAAGGTATATAGATAGATACATAAACACAATAAAATTACAATTTTGGTTGCCTAGAAAACTATTAGAATAACATTAACATATTAATAGGGTTACCACTAGATGGTGAAAATATTTGTAGGTTCTTTTGACTTTTCCTTTGTTATAATTTTCTGTGCTTTCAAAATTTGTAATTTTTATAAACAAAAAAGTAAACAATAAAGTTTGTTTTATTACAAATGATATTAAGATGCACCATCTATATGAGCATGATCCTTCTCAATTTTTTTTTCAAACTAGCATCTCTACTCAATGTATTAGTGTACCACACAGTCAGATAGGAATATTTATGTATTTTATTTTAGTCTTCATGTCTATCTGACAAACAACAGGAAGAATTTTGACCAAAAGTTTTGCTTTGCTCTTTAAGATGCTTAAAACAACATAGAAAAGGAATGTTCAGTGGGTTGGTCTCAGACTCACATTTCCGAACTGTTATACTAAGATTTCTTAATCATTTACCTGTTCAGAATATGTGTAAGCAAAGGTCAAAGCAGTTTCAAGTTTAGTGATACCTCATGTGTAGCCTTCCCGGCTTATGCAAGAGCCACACCCACAGTATGAAGGTTTTTTGAGATCACTGAGTTTCTGCCTTTAACACAGCTCTAGTTATATAGCCTCTGATCGATTGTCAATGCAAGTAACCACTTTTGCTAGATTCAGGAAATGGAATTGTATGCACACTTCATCAACCCGGTACACACACACACACACACACACACACACACACACACACACACACACACTCTTGGAAGACTGTGGGAAGGAAAAATGTTATTATGTCCTTAATTATTTAATACATCTTTTATGTTACAAAAAGTAATTTTTTTTTCATTACTATTGCATGTTGCATAATGGGCAATGAGCCCAAAGATTTATCTATGTGCTGCTACCAATATGTGGACTCAATGAGTATTCATTGAGAGCTTATCCGTAAAACATGGTTCTGGCCATAGGAGATACAAGGACACAGTCCTGCCTCCCTTCCTACACGGAGACATCAAGAAAATTCCATGGATTTTACATACTCTTTCAACGTCTTTCTCCAATAAAATAGTAAAAATTATTATTGACATGTACCGACTTTCACTTAAATTCAGCGTAATATCATTTTAAAGGTTCAGTTTAAAACTATTGCCCAAAAATATCACCAGTGAATTTTTTCAAATATATATATATTTTAAAATTCGAGTTAGTTTATGTAAATATTAAGGATAAGATTCAGTGTATCATGATTTTTTCCTAACAGAATACATTGATTTTTTTTTTTTTTTTATTCTGTGCAGCTCACTCAACACTTTCCAGTTTTATGATAGGCTTTGAAAATATAACAGGGCAATAATTATTGCTTCCCAGACGAACAGGCAGAACTGCCAACAAGTTTAGATAAAGATCAGACCAACAAAATAATTTAAAAGTGTAAAAGAAATGGAAAGTAAACATGTGAGTTCAAGGGACATACAGCAAAAAAAGTAATACTTACTTGACTTGTCCTTTCTCCACGTAAGTCGTTCTATAAAACCCCACCAGCGAGCCGTTCAGCCAGCCAGCGAACTCCATGGTCAGGAGGTAAGGACCCTCGTCACCGTTGGGTGCGAGCTCTTCCGCTGCCTCCACCACCACATACTCCTGCTCTGTGTACTGGAAGCACCTCTGAATTTGCACCTGCGCCCCGGAGGGTCGCGTCAGCACCGGGAGCCGGCTGATCTTGGTCTCCCGGAGGTGCAGCCACAGGTGCTGCGTGGGCGTGCTCACGTTGATGGAGATGGTCACACTGCCCGTGTACGTGTCCTCCTCCAACATGGGCTTCACCTCCAGCTCGTAGTGCACCGGGTTAATGAAGTCCGGCAGCCTGAAATTTTTCCAGGCTCCGCTTTCATCGTCACTGGCAGGGCAGACCTCCTGGTCCTGGGGAGGGCTCGTTGTGGGAGGACTCGTTGTGGGAGAGCTCGCTGTGGGAGGACTCGCTGTGGGAGGACGCTGGGAAGGTACATTTTCCACGGAGTCACAGGATCTGGTTAAGCCCACAGCAAGTCCTACTATTAATCCTACACCCACCACCACTGCGCAGATAATGGCCACATGTTTCGTTTTAATGCAGTATTTCTTAGAGCCTTCACTGTCCGCAAAGTTCATTTTTGTTTCCAAAGCCAAATGTTACACATGAAAGGATGTTAAATTTAACTAACGTCAGCAGACTTCCTTTTAAATTGGAAAGAATGCCCTGGTTTGGCAGCCCGTTTTCACTTCTCCCTTACCTCTCTTCGGCTTCTCGCGTCTTTGCCTCTCCCTGCAAGTTCCCACCAGCCACTCAAGGATGAATGTGGAAACGAGGGGTGGGACAGAAGAGAACTGAGCAGGAGGAAGAGGACTGACGAGAAAATTGTCACAGCTCCCTTATAAACAGTGCATCCCCACTCCACTCCTCCTGCGCTGGAGGGAGTTAAATATAAAACAGAGTTTAGCTTATCAGCCAACAGGAGGATGATCTTTTGCCAAAGCTCTGTCAGCAGCTTTACAGGGAGAGGACGTTTGGGGAGGAGGTGTGCTTGCAATAGAGAAACTCAACCTTTGTCACTGGGTCTCTGGCTTCTTCCTGCTGTGCTTACAATCTTTTTCTTAACCAAAGGACTTCTTGAATTTCAGCTGTTTTATCGGGTAGCTTGTCGTATTATGTCATTTTCCTCATATTATGTAAACATTCAGATCCCACCTTTTGCCAAAGTTGTGTCCTGAAATTGGATGCTCAGAATGATACAAGAATTCAAGGACAACTTAGATACTCAGTAAAAATTTGTTGAATTGGCGGATTAGTAAAGCAAAACCAGGTAACCCTAAATGAGTTCAGTGGATGCTGGATGAAAGCGAGGGGCGAACATGAAGAAATTAGCCAAAGCAGTACTGGAACTGAAAAGCCTAGGAAGAAAAGAGAGAGAGAAGGGGAAAGGATCGAAAGGAGTACAGAGGAGATAAACTTGTTAGATAATCTTGTTAGGTTCGATAACTAAACTCAGTTAAATAAACTTGTCTCTGCAGTTTGCCTCTAAGTGAGAATGACTACTTTAGACTTTGATGTGGTAGATCATGTTTGGACCAGATTCCGATGCGAAAGAAGGCCTGTTCCAAGACCCATTACTTGTGCAAACCTATTGCTTCTGAATGACAAGGCTATTATTGGGCCTCCTATGTACATGGGATGCTATTGGCCCATCTGAAAAATAGGGACATCTCCAGAAATGTTGTCAATAATTATCACTACATTGTGATTATTTGATTGCCTCTTTACATATATTAGTTAATCAGAGCCAAATCTTATGGTTCAGGAAAATAAGAAACTAAAAATATGGCAAACTAGAGGCACAAGGAGGAAGGAGTATTACATAGGGAACAGAAAGGGTCAAAACCAGTTTCTCTCCATCTTGCCACACAGTCAGTATTACAAGCATGTCCATTCTATAAACCCCCATGGTCAGTCCAGGTATTTCCAAACGGTAAAGGTTTTGTTGGAATTGAAAAAGGAGAGTGCCTTTGCACATAACTTAGCCGACCATGAGCTCTACATACATATTGGCAATATTCTTTGTGATCCCGGTCAATTACATTTTATCTCCAATGCTTGCGCTCTATTCTCCAACTTTTAAGGCCCCAGCAACTGTTTTTAAAAGGCTCAATCAGTTTTAAGACTAAGCAATCTCAACTAACTTTTTTCCAAGAGCTGAAAATAGCTGCAGATATCAGGACAGATAATGTTCAGCATGTCACATGCAACTTTTATTGGTTGATAATAATGAATTTGTCTAAGGACTTGCACAAAATAGGGCAGTGCACAGTAGGAAAGCAGAGAATGAGAAAGAGGAGAATGAGAAAGAGGAGAATGAGAAAGAGGTGCAAGAGGCAAAGAAAGAGGAGAGAAATGGAGAGAGGGGTAGGAGGATTTTTCTAAAATGAGCTGGAGAATAAACATTCAAACACATCCAGAAATAATTCAATAAAGAATACAAATCAATGAAACAATAGGTTTATGTCTTCTCTATTCCTTGTTGTTTCCAGACTGACTTGAGGATCTTCCTGTGGGGTTTTTTAGGACATACAGACTGTGCTCATAATCCTCTACCCCTATTGCCCGTGGACATCAGAGCTTCACAAGTCATGAGCAAGAATCAAAGTTCTGTTATTTATTTGGATCACTCTGGGGAGAATGAGCTCACCTTACCTACCCCTCAAAAAGTGTCTCCAGATCACCATTCATTCATTCATTCATTCAACAAATATATATTGACTCAATAAACATTTACTTTTCTTTTTCAAAAATGTATTTATTTTTAACTTTTTAAATTTTTCAGTTATAGCCAACATATAATATTATATTAGTTTCAGGTATACAACAAGGTGATTAAACATTTATATAACTTACTAAGTGATCACCCAGATAAGTCTAGTATCTATCCGACATCATACATAGTTATTACAATATTATTGACTATATTTCTTATGCTGTACTTTTCATCCTCATGATTGTTTTTATAACTGGCAATTTGTACATCTTAATCCCTTCCCCTTTTTTACCCAGCCCCCATCTCCCCTTTCATCTGACAACCATCAATTTATTCTCTGTATCTATGTTTGTTTCTGTTTTGTTTGTTTATTTATTGTTTTTTAGATTCATTCCTTTTTATAGTCAAGTAGTGTTCCATTGTACATGTGTTTCATTTCTTCTCTATCCATTTGTCTATTAGTGAACACTTAGGTTGCTTCCATATCTTGGCTATTGTAAATAATGATGTAATGAACGTAGGGGTACATATGTCTTTTTGAATTAGTGTTTTGGATTTCTTTGGATAAATATCCACATTTTTAATTGTTTGAGGAACCTCCATCCTGATTTTCATAGTGGCTGCGCCAATTTACAATCCCACTAACAGGGCACAAAAATTCTCTTTTCTTCACACCCTCGCCAATACTTGTTTATTGATTTATTGGAGATAATCATTTGGCAAGTATGAGGTGATATCTTATTGTGGTTTTAATTTGCATTTCTCTGATGATTAGTAATGTTGAACATCTTTTCATATGTCTATTTGCCATTTGTATGTTCTCTTTGGAGAAATTGTCAGATCCTCTGCCCAGTTTTTAAACAGAATTTTTTTTGGTGTTAAGGTGTATGAGTTTCTTATATATTTTGGATATTAAACCCCTATTGGATGTATCATTGGTGAATATCTTCTCTTATTCAGTAGGTTGTCTTGTCATTGTGTTGATAGTTTCCTTTGCTGTGCAAAAACTCTTTAATTTTATGTAGTCCTATTTGTTTATATATATTTTTCTGTTGTTTCTCTCCCCTTAAGAGACATATTAAAGAAATATTACTAAGAGTGAGGTCGAAGATTTACTGCCTATGTTTTCTTCTAGGAATTTTATGGTTTTGTGTCTTACATTTGCCTTTAATCCATTTTTGGTTCATTCTTTTATATGGCATAAGAAAGCAATCCAGTCTCATTCTTTTGCATGTATCAGTCCAGTTTTCTCAATATCATTTATTAAAGAGACTCTCTTTACTCTATTGTATATTTTTGCCTCCTGTCATAGATTAATTGACCATATAGACGTGGGTTTATTTCTGGGTTCTGTATTCTGATCCATTGATCTATGTGTCTGTTTTTATGCCAATACCATGCTGTTTTGATTACTACAGCCTTGTAGTATAGTTTGGTATCAGGTAGCTTGATACCTCCAACTTTATTCTCCCATGAGTTTGGGATCTGCCACTCCCATCTTTACCCCTCATATCATTCTTGATGTGGCTTCTTCTTTAAATCCTTAGTTGTAAGAATTCTGTTCAGCTAGTCTTCTTTATATCCTTATAGGAATTCATTTATAGGTGGTTACCAATAATGGTTGTTCAGCAATTTAGCTGTAATTTTGATGTGGTTATGAGATGAGGAGAACACAGTGTTTACTTATTCTGCCATCTTGACCAGAGCCTAGTATTTAGTTTTCAACTAATATATACTGGACAAGGAATTCTAAGATAAACTGAAATTGGGACATTAAAAGAAATGTTAGTAGATACTCTCAGAGACATGTATGTAAGCCCCTGCTTTGCTCTTAGTATATGGAGATTTTGAAAATATTCTGAAAAGTAAAGAAAATAAAGTGAAAGAATTTATTATCCCTATAATTTTAAACTGCTTTTCTATTGCATTCTCTAGTGTGCAATAATACTTTAGGAGACAGTGGCAGGATAGAAAAACAGCAGGAGAAAAATAATAGTGATAATATAGATTAGATTTCTATAGTTCTAAGAATATCAAAATTATCTTTATAAATTTTCTCTGTGCACTATATGACAGTTCTACATTCTGAGTTATAAAACTTCCTAAAATGTTTAATTCACTCATTATTTTCTTTCAGCCTTTGTAGTATCAAAATCTTGTCAATATTTTCTTTTTTTTTTCTCTTCTTTCCTATCTACAGAAGTCCACGAAAATAATGTTGGTGTGAGGAAAATATCTCACCCAATGTTCTTTTATCTCATAAAGAGTCCAAGTGAATTTTATACTAGCAATGATGATTTTGGATCATGTTCTCCACAAAAATTCTTATAGATCCATTCTTCACCTTAAGTAATATAATTATTTCTTTCAGAGGAAATGCCTGTAATTTTCCAATTTTTATTTATTAACACCAGCTGTTTGGTTTGAAAATTTTTTATTACCACATAAATTTTAGCAAACAGGGTTATCTTTAATTTTTGTTCCCTTTGGAAGTAAAAACATTAACTCCATTAAAATGATCAAAGCCATCCGTACAAGTAATGAGAATGTTATTTCTCCTATTCATGCAATCTTTTCTTGGCATCTCTTCTGTTTTTCATTTATCATTTTTTTAGTAGGCTTTTGTCTTAAAGTAAAAAAATAGTTGCCCCTAAAGATAGCCACATCCTAATGTCTGGAACCTGTAAATGTTACCTTACATGTTAAAAAAAAAAAAAAAATCTTTGCAGATGCAACTAAATTAAGGGTCTTGAGCTGGGGAGATTATCTTGGAATTATCGGTATTGAAGTGGTTCTTAAACACAATCTCATGTGTCATTATAAAAGGAAGACACAGAGAGATTTTTGTACACAAACACGTAGGCAATGTGAAGACAAAGCAGAGCGAGATTTGAAAATGACCATCTTAAAGACTGGAGTGATGAAGTCACAAACTAAGAAATGCTGGCAGGCACCAAAAGGTGGAAGAAGCAAGGAACAGAAGCCCCTCTACAGCTTCCGGAGGAAGGGTAGCACTGCTGACACCTTGATGTTTGGCCCAGTGATACTGATTTTGGACTGCTGGCCTTCAGAAAGTGAAAGAATAAATTTCTGTCATTTTAAGCCACAATGCTAATGGTAATTTGTTACAGCAACCACAGGAAACTAACATGGTAGCCTTTAGGTATTCATTCAACAAACATTTTTTGAGAACGAC